CTGCGGTCCCCAGGTGTTTTAATTTTGACCCATACCCATGTAGTAAGAGCATGTGATGTTTCTGGGTTTTGGGAGAAGCAACCCCCAAGACTATGAAGACAACTGTTATTGGTAGAAGTATCGCAAACAGCTTGTTTAAAAGCTTGTTTTTTTCATCTTTGGTTTGTGTTTGGGAAAGGGGACAGTATTTATTAAGGCCTGGCAATTGGTGGGTGCCAACAATGGATTAGTTTTTGGTTTGACCAAACCGTTTGGGCCCCTTTAAAGTAGTATTGTCTGGCAATTTCCCGTCGGGGGGGCGAGAAGAGGACAGTCTTATGTTTCTGGTGTGGAATATGAAGCAGGGGTCAACATTACCAACAAATATGGTGCCCTGTTTTCCTATGGCCGAGAATCTAGGGTCCGGCGGGGCCAACCAAAAAAAATATCAGCTTGAGAGTTGAAACGGTTTCCAAGTGCATGCCATTGGCAAGCAAAACAAAGAACACGTTAACACTTGGGAACTTCTGGCGGGAGCAGGTTAGACTTCATTTTTTCGGGGGGTTTGCTTCAATCAGTTTTCCCTTTCCAGATGAACGTGGCAGGTGTGTGTCAGAATCGAAGACGTCTGTAGGTTTGTTTCCTTTTCTTTCGTAGCGATGTCCAAAAGGGTTCCCATAGGTGAGACACTATGCTCCTGACGTGGTTTTGGGTGGGATGATCGCGCGAAGGGCCCGTACCCTTGTGTTCCCAAGCTGTGGAATCACGGCAGCGGTGGGGGGTTGGGTGCGGGACGTTGGACAAAGGACCCCTTTGGTTGTTCCAAAGCATGTGGGTGTTGGGTGGGATTCCCGCGTTTGACGGGTTGAGCATGTGGCGAAAGGGGTCCTTATCTAGGTCCCCCAGTAGTGCCCTTTTACCTTTTTTGGGGGGAGGGTTCCCCTACTAAAATGGACTACAGAAAAAAGGGCGCCCTTATTCTAACCTCTCTACTGGAGGACCTAGTTATGTTTCTCTTGCTGATCCGCTTCGCGATGGCGGTTCCAAGACGGCCAGCTCAATTCCGGAAGTCCGGTACGCGAGCCAGCTCCTCACAAGCCACACGCGGCCCAATCCGACTCGAGATGGCAAACTCATGGAAAGCGATTTGGAGAAGCTCGAAGCAGACGAGGTCGTTTACCTGATGAACAACTTGACTGCATAGCCGGAACCGTCCGGCAGTGAGTTTCAGTGTGATGCGTGGAACGCCAAGGACATCCCTGCATTGGGGTACTCTTCAAAGCCCGGATTTCCCATTCTGTTCCAATATGGTTCTTTTCAGAAAGCGGCCGTTCTTCCCTCACCTGAGAATCCGATGGTCCGAATGAAAGGATAACGTGAATGCTCCGAAGCTTCCCACGAAGATCTTCAGGCGCAGGGCTCTGGGTGTATACCCTGTATAGTGGCTGAACAACATGCTTATCGCATGAAACCGAAGCTAGGTCCAAAGTCCTTTGGACCTAGCTTCGGTCGGTATAGTCTATATCAGTTACCTTCTAGTTGCCGCCTGCAGGGTTTGTCAGGGTTTCTTGCCTCTGGAATCTCACACCATGGTATCTGCTTGGTACCGCATCGTGGTCCCTGGCAGGTTAGACGCGGTTCGGGCTCGCTGAATGCCGCCATGCCAGGACTCCATGCACCTGGGCCAGATGAAGACTGCAGGTACACTGGTGCTGCAGTACTGCTACGCACGGCCCTCGGAAGAAAAAGGATCGGGGAATGGGACATGGGAAATGGTTCTGGTGTGTCTGGAATCAGCCTCCCAAACTGATGGTTTTCCCTTTGGTGTCCCTCTACGGAACAACCCCAAACAGGACCCTCAAAAAGATGCACACCCACATCTTACATCTTCGCCTTGACGAAAAATAACGAACAACACGAATTAAGCCCATTTGGGCTTTAATTGGGTTTGGGCTTGAAGCTTGGCAACATGTTGGTTTAATGGGACCTCATTTGAGGTCTTGAGGGTCCCGGATCCTAAGCATCCGTAGTCTAGGTTGAGGGCGCAAAAGGGCCAGGATGACCAGATTTCCCATCTGCTCTTAGGGAACAAATGATCTTTTGTCCTTGAGTCACATAGCTACTGTAACTTACTATACCCCAATTTCTCTCGTGAAACAAGAGCAAGTATGATTTCGCATGATGTTATGTGGTGTACTAATTTCCACAACCCCAGTCCAATCATTTCGGGCCTTTGAGGGCGCCACCAACAGCTTATCAACATCCATCAACATAGTGGAGTTTCCCTGCTGGGTTCCCCAGCGAGGTCATGTTGTTATACATGACATTCTGAACAGCACTCTTCAAATTGTTGGTTCGAAGAGAAGCCACCCCACAAAGTAATCGAGTGGACATATAACCGCTTTCCATTGGGCCCAGGTTGCCTTGAATTCCTCAGTTGCTGTGGTTCCCTTACCTTCCCTTACATTCCCTGAGATTCCCTTAGATTTCGTTGGATTCCCTTGGATTTTCTTGGATTTTCTTGGTTTCCCTTAGATTCCCTTGGCTTCTCTCGGATTCTCTTGGTTTTTCTTACATTCCCTTGGGACTCAAACGCCCGCGCGCGAGATTCCATGGCCAGGCCTTGACGGCGGACCCCAACGGCCAGGGCCGACTGGCGGCCAACGCCATCTTGGCAGAGCACCCAAAGGGCACCGCCGATCTGATCGCCAGGCGCCGGAGCTTTTGAGTTTTTCCTCTTTCTTCTTCTCTCACGGAAGTTGGAAGGGACGAGTTTTGAAGTTCGTTGTTTTGGGGTGCGCCATTTTTTTTTGATTGGTGGTTTGGAGTTGGATTTGAACAGATTCTGGTGGAAATGGGAACTGCACACCAAATCAAGCCCCCAAATTCAGCTACCAATTCGAGGGGACCTATTCCGTTTGATGAAGCTAGTCAACGGGCTTAGTCTCAATCCCAGGGTTATACCTTTGAGAAGGGAATCCCGAGAACCATCCCTCGTGCATTTGGGAAGCTGGGGTGGGGGGAGGGGGGGAGAATCTATTCGGGTGCGTCTTCTTTTGAGGGTACCCATTTTCTTGTAATTTCAAAAGGAAATTCAACAGGAACATCGTTTTGTGGGAGGCCCCCTACAAAAAAGACCCCCCCCATTTGTTGGTCAAGGGAGTGTTGCTGCCATCATCGCTGACCATGAGTTGGGCGTGTGCGGTGAGCTTGCTACAGATATGGCTCGATGGCGAGGACATCGAGCAGCAACTTACTCATTTAAAATGGCAGCGGCGGTGTCCGTGCGGTTCTCTTTGAATATGAACTAAAAAAGGGGTCCGAATCCCATTTGGCGAAACACCCAGCTAGTTTCAATGGGGGAACCAGCCCCCAATTTCCAGGGTTCCCTTCTTCAATGCAAGGGTGACAGGGGTGATACAAAGAGCTAAATTAGGGAACTTCGCCCATAGTCCAATATGGTCCGTATGTGTTTGGATCTGACATCAGCACATGCGAGGGGAAGAACAGAGGAGTTATGCGGCAGGCAGATCAACAGGAGTTCCGGAAAGTTTTCGGTTTGTCTCTGCAATTGTTGCTCTTATTGCGAAGATCCGGACGAAACATTTTGACCACACTGATCATCACGCATGGAAGGACACAGTTTCGAAGGTCGTAATCGGAGACTCCTCAAGGATCCAACGAACGTAGACAGTGTCACACAAGATTATGGCACCGTTCGGAACACATTGCAACAAGACAACGGGAGATGGACCGACACAAGATCATCTTTCCTGGAAGCAGTGATATTGGCATACTGGATCACATACCCAATCACACACACACACACACACATTGTTTTCATTGAAAGAACACGAGGAAGTGTTCCTGTGCCCGGCATGACAGAGAAGGACGAGCAAAGCATGCACAATCGTTTGAGGTATGCAAACAAGGAAAAAGAGGTCTATTCCCCTCAAGAGGAAATGTCTCTGAATAGAATATGGAGCCCTCAGCAAAAAATGGCGAAACAGCTCTTTTTTGATGCAAGATTGCTCCGGCTGGTAAAAGTTGACCCACCTTCAAGGTTTAATTCAAGGGACAAATCACTGGCAGGTTGCTCCTGTGATCATGTTCCCCACAGCCCCAGTCGAATTATTTGCCTTAGTAGACATTTGGGTTGGTTTCCGTTGGCTTCCCTGTACCATGTTACGCCGATTGGATCTTGGGAGCAAGCCTAAGGTTTTCGGGGGCCAAAACAGCAGCTTGGGTTCTAGAGGCGTTTGTCTTTTTTCGGAGTACCATTGTGTTGCGGTTTTAAAGGGACACCATAAGGAGCGCCACAATTTGTCGGGGTCCTTTAAGAAAAGCGAGACATCCAGGGGTTTGCAAAAACCAGGCGTGCCCCCACGGCTTCTGGCTCGGAAGCACAGACCCCTGAAAAGATGACCTAACATTGGCACCGTATACCAACTAGAGCCAACAAGCTGATACAAAACTGATACTGCGCTTACAGAAAATCACCCCGAACCTCCGAAAACACAGCCCAACCCCCCCCCCCCCACCCCAAAAAAAGAAGTTGTTGTCTTCTGCTCGCTTAGCGCGTCGAGCTCTCGTGCATCCGGCCAGTCTGAAAGAGATGCAGGGCTCCGTCTTCAGTGACACCAAGAAGGCTCAGGCGCCTCGCGGGCCCGCGGGCTCTCGCCGGGGCCGGCAGTGGTTGGGGTCTAATCCAATCTATTTCACACCATTTCAGGGGTCCCCTTTTGTATGGCACACCCATTTAGGGCAATGTTCACTTCGGATTCGTCCGGACCATACGATTCTCAGGGTTGGCTAGGGACATGAGACCATGGGGGCTCTCTGGATAGGGTCCTTCGGTTGAATCCGAAGTTGACTACCCCAGATGTGGGTCAAGATTGGGGATGTGTTCTTGGTCTTGGGGCTTTGGTGCGCTGTTCCCGGTTTCAGCAAAATTGAGGGTCAGCCAAAAGCTTTTTTCATTGTTGATTTTGTTGGACAAGTGAGTGCCCAAGTTGGCCAATTGGAGGGGTTTTACTCCGTTTTACTCCCTGCTGGAGGGTCTTTGCAGGAGGCGTATATTCACCTCATCCGCCATGGAAGAAACCGCAAGACACGTTTTTGGACCGTGCTCGCCCCGAGGGCCCTTTGCTCAGCACGAAGTTCCTTTTGACTCCGTGTGTGTGTTTGCCGGTGTGATGGTCATTGTTCAATTTGGGGGGCGCCCCTTTTTGGGTACCGCAAAAGTTGTGGTGTTCCTTTTTGTTTCCCTTTAAGACCAAAAACAAACGAGGGTTAAGAAGCAGACCTATTTGTCAGCCCGCCCGCTTCGGAAGGGCTTGGCTCGTTGCACCCGTTTTGCATGTAGGGGTTGATCAATATCCCTGGCCCCCGAATCACCATGGGTAACTTGTCCCATTTCGTGGACACATAATCTTTTCATGTAAAGGATCTTTGATCAACACCCCCATGTTTTTCTCGGATCCAAAATTGTTTTTCTGAGGGTTGGTCCGTGTAAGATCTACCCAACATGGCTGATCTTTGGTGTGACCACAACTGCCCCTGAGACCAATTGGTACAAAGTGGTGTTTCCGTTAAATCTGCAAAACCCGATCGACCTTTGGCTCAGGGAAGAGAAATCCAGCCAACAAGGGGTGCCCCAAATAGGAGAGGTCGACAGCACATTGAACATCCGAGGCACCAGTGCTGCGAAGCAAGGCGTCCTTCAGCAGCACTGGACTTGTTTGTGTGGTTTTAAGAGACCTTCTTCGAACCGGGCTTGGTTTTACTGCGATCTCTAGGCTCCAAGTGATTACATGAAGTCCCTCAGCCATTGGCCCCCCTGACCAATCGCAGGTCCTCGATGACGCGGCCGTGGCCGTGGAGCAGAAAGCAGGCGAGTGCCTCGGAGCTCGGGAGCTTCGCGGTTTTGGAGCCGCGAGCAAACACCCCAAGGCCTTGCTTGCGATTTGGCCGATTTGGCCCTTGGCTTGGGCTTTGAGAGCCTTGATCTTTGTTTAGCCGCTGGAGAAAAACAACGCTGGTATCCTACGGGTGTTGCTTTAAAGGGGTCTCTCATGTTTTCACCGAAGATCCTTCATGCGGGATCTTACTTAGTTCTTGTGCATAGTTTGTCCAAACTGACTTGGCGTCCTTTTCTGCTGTGGGCATGTCATTCTGACATTTGGGCCCATCTAATTCGATGCTTGCGTGATGAAAAGCAGCGTCGAACACGATAGGAGCACCCCATTGGCAATTCTTCAACCCCTCAGCTGCTTGGCCCATGATTCTACCATTCTCCGAATGACTACCGAGCACCAGAGGTTGCTGACTTGGGTATTTTCCAGAAACAGTCAAACCACGGAGACCCCTAGGGCCTTCTCGAGATCCGATCGCTTTTCATGCACAGGCAACATCAGCCGCCTGCTGCGGGGTGTCAAGCACTACCCAGGACTCAGGGACCAATTTTTGGTCGCGACTTTTGTAGGCCCTGTGGGTGTTTCTCAACAATGATGGACCCCTGAAGGTGGTGTTGTTCCTGTTGGTGTCCCTTTAAGCTCATCCCCTTTGGAGGGTCCACCAGTTTGAGAAACCCCTATATTTCTATTTGGGCTGGTTCAAACATCGCCTTTCGAGCCTGCTTGAAGAAAGTTCCCTATTAGGAAGAGAAATGGCGGGAAGCCAGATGATCATGATGATGATGATGGTGCTGGTGATGATGATTGCTGTGATGGTGATGGCGATTGCTTGATGATTGCATTATTATTGCATGATGATGATGATGCTGATGCTGATGATGATGATGATGAGGATGAGGATGAGGATGAGGATGACGAGGACCTCACTTTTCAGCACCACACACACCTGCAGATCAACATGGAGCCCCGGAAACTCAACAGTTTCAGAGGTTGAATCTCCTGCTTGGGGACGCCCTTTTCGGGTGCTGGCCATGTTTAAGGCCGGGAAACAACTTGACTCCCTTTTTGACAAGGGCGGGATCATGTGCAGTTGAATCCTCAAGCTTTTCAATTCGGGAACCAGATAAGCCATGTCATTTACTGTTGTGGTTGGTGTGCTTGCATTCGTCCCCTTTCGGAAAACAAGCAACATACGACAAGTGCGGTTTCCCAACGATAACCTTTGCCACTTGCAACTTTGCAACTGGGTTGCGGGACTTGGCCTGATTTGGCTGACTGCCAACGACCAGGGACCCTCCAAAGATGGTCAACTTAGCTTCAAACAGAGTTTCCAACCAGGCGTCATGACTGATCCATGACTTCACCAGTCCGCTCGCCAAACTCTTTCGCCGGGCTTGAGCATCGAAGCGAAGATACTTCCATCATACGAAACCAATCATATCTGCACTGCAGACGGTGAAACATTTTGCCCAAGGTTTGTCCAAGGTTTTACACAGACAAGGGACAGACAACCCCTTTGACAAAAGACGACTTTCAGCACCACTTTGCGACACTTGCATGTTCCGCATCCAACATTCGGAGACGACCAGAGTACCTGAAGTCTGAC